ATTTTGCTTGTTTGTTTTTGTTTAGTATTACGGCACAATTTAGGTCATATGGCGACGAAACAGGAAATATGATCTTGACTTACTCTGGGTGTTACAAACTTAAAGCAACACCAGGGGGTCAAAACCACCTTACCTACTGGAGCAAAGAGATGCATAGATTCCAGTAATTCGAACCCATTAAGTCACCACCAGAGATAAACGGTGGCTGCAATTCTGATGACTCTACCCTTATAGGTAGCCCCTCAGGCACAAGGTCAGCCCCTCAGGCACAAGGTGGACGCTGATTGTAAAATTATTCGTCATAAAAGTAGTAAAACATTGACAAAGTAGTATTATGACTTCCGTACAAAATACTTAATCACAATAACTGTACTAATTGCCAACAAGCAACAGAAGGAAAAGACGGTTCAGGTGAATGGCCAATGAGTAACTGTTTGGAAATTATATTGGGAACCAAAACTAAAAAGCTTTGGAGAAATAAAGAAAAAAAGTATTTCTTAGGAATAGTATAGAGCTTTTATATTCGTTACACACACAAAAAGAATAAACGTGCATTTTTTCACAAATCGAGTAAAATAATCGTGATTACATACCATTCAATCGTCATACGTTTCTTATATAGAATCGTCCTGTATGAAAGAACACAAACAAAATCCTAAAATAAGAAGTCGAAAAGTATTCAAATTGCTCTCTACAAATCAAAAGGGACATAATAAGTGTAATATATTATGATGTTATTACACATTGTTGAGTACAATACTGGATTCTGATTCTTAGGACGAGTGCATCGATGTCAAAACTATATTGGACGGGACGCTAGTCGAATCTGATATAGATTTTGCAGCTGTGTACTCAGTGTACTGTGAATCAGTACTGTTCAAAATCATGTTTAGTGACCTTTTTATTTCAGACGACCGTTTTGGACATTTTGACAATTATATTTACCAATTTTGCTTTATCTTTTACGAACATTTTGGACGCTGGAAATGAAAGCGATGCTATTGGGGGTTTTCTAATAGAAGTCATTAGTAAGCAATAATGGAATTTTATGTAAATTTGTGTAACTAAAGGTGCGTTATGTGTGAAACTTCTTACGTTTATTAGAAAGGATGGTAGTACATTATTTCATAATACAACACAATTATTACAACGATTTCTTTAAGATTCCACCTAGTTAATATGTAGCACTTTGCATGCAAAAAATCTATCATTCGAACGCTTTTTTTAATTACTTTGCAGACAGTTTTAAACTGATACAACAGTCAGCAGAAACATGATGACATGTGTAAGAATCATCTAAGATGCAGATGCAAACCGGACTTTTTTCAGAAGGGTATAAAGCAAACATTGAAAGAAAATGATACAAAGAAAAAGAGGAAAAGAAAATTGAAATCTTAAAAAGAACATACACATGAACTTGAAAAAAAAAAAGAATGAAAATGTTGCAAACTTGTTTTTAATTTATTATGCACTCCTGGTTGAAGCAAGAGAAGAGTTACCGCCCATGTCCTTAACAATTTATTCAGAATTCGGTGGATGAAAATAATAAGAAACCTTTTCTTTTCTTTTTTTAAAATCTCCGTAGACCTGTTTGACAAGAAGAAGTAACAAAATGTAAATGGAATTGTATATAAGTGAAGACTTTGAACATTATTAACATTTTATGGATCCACACTCTTATCTTGTTATAATTCGAAACCTTGTTAAACATTGTTAAAAACAGACAAGTCAGATGTTACTTCTTCCGCTTGATTACAAACCTGTACCAGCGGCAAATTTCAGGAGAAAAAAAATTAATTACTGGGGAAGTTATTGATTCAAAAATTCACGTGTAAGTCCAGAGTAATCAAAGGTGAGTTTCACGTCCCTATATTATACTGGCAACTCAAGTCAAATATTTGAGTGGTATAATTACTGCGGGGGAAAGTATTGATTTAAAAACTCATGATTGTGAGTAAACAAATAACGTACAGTTTACGGTGGTTACTTTGTTTCAAATGATAAACATTTTATTAACAAAACTTACTCTTTTCTGACTGTCTCTAGTTAAAGGAACATTACGCCTTAGTAATCCATATTTTTTAATTCTTTAGAAATGTCAAACATGTCTTTAATAATGTTTTCAAAATTGATTTAAGAGCATGTTAGATATTCAACAACTGAAAAAGTAGCACTGAACATGCAGTGACGTGTCGTTAAGGTATCAAAATGTAAACAACAAAGTAGTATTTTGACTTTTATACAAAATACTAAATCAGTAAATGTACCATTTGCCAACAGAGCAAAATAAGCAAAAGATTGTTTATATATATGGCAAAGAAATATTTTTATTTATTTATTTATTTATTTATTTATTTTTATTTATGTGTTTATTTATTTATTTATTATTTATTTATTTATTTTATTTTATTTTTGGGGAGGGGACTTTGATGAAAAAATTTTCGTGAAACAAAAATTAGCATTTCTTCACAAAGGACCTTTAATTTACTAGAACCGTTATATATTTTTAAGAGGGGCGTCCATGGCCGAGTGCTAAGGTCATTGACTTCGAAACACTTGTTCCTCACCCCTTTAGGTTCGACTTCACTGTGTGAAAATAGAACATGCACATGGCGTCGTTTGGAGTCTTGCATGTGAGAAAGCCATCCAGCTAGGTCACAGAATGTCGTGGGTTGCACTCAGGTGCCTGTGTTTGTGCCCGAAATAATGCACATGGGGGCTCCCGAGGTCTTCCTCGGAAAGTTGCCATATGACATACTGTGTTGGTGCAACGAAAGGCCTAATTCCGTCAATCATTAAGATGAAATTAAGATACAAATTAGCCTTGTAGAAAACTGTATATTTATATCATACTAGTAATTTATGCAACCGTTGCGTTGTCATTTATTGGCCAGTAGGCTCGCCATTATATTATTATTTTTTTTATTTTTTAAGGTGTCCTCCAAAATATTTTATTTATTGGTAAAAGTGTAATTTTATTGATTTGACCGATTTGAATATTGGCTTCTGTCTATTAAAGATCGCAAAAATATAATATGGTATAGGCACCCTGTAATCCCCCGTGTGTGAGAGGGGAGGGGCGGTACACACATTTTTTTGAAAGTTCAACATCGAAAATAGAAAATAAGCAAAGAGCAGTCTAATTTACCGTGTACCGTATTACCATATTAAAATTGTGACAGTCAACGCTTGTTTGATCCTGGGGCGTGCGGCACGGTGGGGAGCCTGAACCCCCCCCCCCCACACACACACACCCACACACACATTTGCCGAGATCCTGAACAACTATTCTAACTATTCTTACAAACTTTCTACAAATATCGGAGACCTTTGACAATCCTATTCCATTTAAAAAAATATCATCATTTTGTTGACACTGTACGTGTTCTCTCAAAATAATTTATTTTTAGAACGAATGTCGCGAACGTTGCCAATGTTTATCTGTATGAGGACATGTACATTTTCTAACAGATAAACGGAGACATAGTTGTAGTTGTACATTATAGAGGAGTAATTAGATAGTCTGAGTTAAACGAAAGTTTCTAGTGGAAAATAATATACTAGTATCATTAAAGTCAATATTGCTTACAGTTACCTACAAAAGGGCGTTTGTTTTTATCAAAATAGTCTGCGTCTTTACTATATATTGACTGAACCTTTCCCCGTAGGTAAAACAAGTCCATTTTTACAGGGTTTCTTTTTCCTTTCTTTTTCTTTTCTTTTGTGTGGTATTGATACTTGTATGTTTTCTTATATCTTGAAGATGTGAATTGTTTGTCTGATCGTAGATTTATGAATAATATAAAAAGTATATATACTAATTATTCTGCTTGCCTTTGTATTGTATTGGTTTCTTTATTATTATTATTATTATTATTATTATTATTTTTATTATTATTATGTTTCTATCTTCTTGTTGTATTTGTTTTTCTTGTTGTTTATCTAAGTGTGGGGGTGTGTTTGTTGTTTCGTTTGGTTTTGTTTTTCCTTGGCCCGAGTGTTGTGTGTGTGTGCGTGCGTGCGTGCCGCGTGCATGTGTTATTTGCTTTTTTATGGAGAGGATTTGATGAAGGAGGTTTGTTGTTATCATTATTTTCTTGTTTATTATTATTATTATTATTATTATTATTATTATAATAATTATTATTATTATTATTATTATTATTATTATTATTATTATTATTATTATTATTATTATTATTATTATTATTATTATTATTATTATTATTATTATTATTACATGTTTTATTCACATAGTTTATTTTATATTTCTCCTAAATCCGGACATATACTTATAGTAATAAACAATTAATATTATTAGATACATTTATAATGTTGGGGGCATTATTTTTTTTTTCTAAATTTATTTATTTTTATTATTTTAATAATTTTTTTTTGGGGGGGGGTCAATATTTTAGTCGTATTTAGTGAAACAGCATAACTTTCTGATTGTCCAAAAACACGAGATATTACATTGTACTTTTGCCCCCAAAACATTTAAAGAAATGAAATATCCAAAAAAAAGTTACCAAAGAAAACCTTAAGTTAACTTGACCCAATTTTTTAGCGCTTTTCTGTCCAATGCATATCACAAAATGTCGTTTGGTATAGGCACCGTGAAGTAGCATATTCGAATGTAAGGTCTTACTGACGTTTATTTACTCACAGTATATAATGAATGATAATCAATGTAAATAAAGTAAAAAAATAATAAAATAAAAAAAGCTATAAGGAAAAGTTTATTGAATTCGATGCCGTTTTAAATGTTTTCTTGACTTTCTGAATCAAGATTGTGATTTATATGGATTTTATTATTTTATATCTTAATCTGTTAGTTCGTTTTGTTTTTTGTTTGTTTGTTTGTTTGTTAACAATCTTTTTTATTGGGTACGATACAATTTAGTACAAATGTTTTATCAATGTACGAGTTGTCTTTCTTACCACTACGTATAAACGATAAACCCAAAGATACAACCAAATGAGCGGTATTTTTAATAACAAGCAATTTCATTGGTTTAAGTCACCGAAAAGCACGAAATTCGAAAGAAGATCAGAGGTTGTAAAAATAAAGAAAATATAAAATATTTAAGTTATCTTCGGATCTTCATAGCGATATGCCGCCAATGAGACCTCAGTGAGAATCATTTATATTCTGTATTTCTACAATATAGTTTTAGATAATTAAATTTTATTTCTTGTTTCAGAGCAAATCTTTTCTTGCGCTTTTTTCAGATTTTGGTGGGTGGGGTATAGAAAATAAGTTGTCAATAATTTTAACATGAAAATTATTTCTGCCTCCGTTTCTAGCCAAAAGTTCTAACCATCAGGACTCACTGTAGCATTACGGCACTTTTCAAAATTATATGAAAATACGAATATCTATCTTTGTCATTTCCAGATGGCCAGAAAAAGGAGCGTTTAGTAGTCCTATATAAAATAATTATATGATGTTGTTTGAGATATTTTTGCTTCTGGGCAAAGCAACGTGATATCGAAATTGCTCTAATTCCATAGCATGTTACGACACAAAATCAGGCGGAAAGAAAAAACAAGACAACGTGTATTTACATTAATTTTGACAAAACTAAAAAATAAATTATACCTTTTGTCACAATAATTAAACTGTCACATCCGCAAAATCATGATTAAATCCTCTGATGTATTTAAATTACTTTTACAGCCGATAAACAAATGGTGGTCATATAGTGCGCGAAATCTGATTGGCTAATTCAAATGCAAGCGTTTTTAATGAAATAATTGCCCATGCACCGTCAGTGTGTTGGATTATATTTTTCCGTTCAAAAGTTTGGAATCAATCTGTAAAACGCCTTACTTAACAATTATGGTCGGTAGACAAAAACTGATCGATGTTTATTTTTTATTTTAAATTAACAAGTACAATGTTTGATTTTGTTTATGATTGAGCATGAAATTGATAGAAAGAAAATAAGCTTTTGAATAAAGTTTGAAAGGCAAGACAATAGACATTTTTAATTTTTTATTATGCTATGAGCAATAACTATTACACGTCAGGCTTGACCGACATAAACTATAACAAGCCTGTAACGTCTAATATATTGGACTAGCTAGAGCTTTAAGTTGCAGTTGAATAAAATCAATTAAAATCGTTTGCAAATTAATATAACAATACAGTGATTTTATTCACTTTGTTTTACAGCCGAATAAAGGCTGTTTTCCCTAGCCCAAAATAGGTATATTTTCCCTTAAAAATTCTAATATTTTCCCCTTAAATGCCTCATGCTCTTCCTTACCAGAACCATGACTTAACAGCATCTGACTTATATTAGTTAGAAGACAGAAATCTGTCCCTATAGATAGCCTCTGCCATATACCATGCATGTGAAAATGAATTGAAATAGTTTTTTTTTCATAAAATGTGTGGGTAAATTCCGTTTTCAGTTGTTGGAATTTGATTTTTAAGGTTTCCCCCTTTTGTGATTTATCCCGCTATATTTTCCCCTTCAGATAGCCACAGGTTGTTTTGAAAATTGGAAAAAAATCACTGCAATACTTTTTTTGTTTCAATAAACTTATTTTTCAACACATGATATAAAAATGAACAAAGCACTGAAAATAATTGTTGTATGATTGCAAAATTATAATCTACTCTAGTATTATTCCTGAGATTTTGAGCAAAATTCTGTTAAAATGCAATTGATCAAAGATTAGTGGTCATGTTTCCTTTAAACACAGAAAAGCACATGAACTCAGAAAAATTTTCAATAATTTCATAATTATCTTGCAGAAGAGGCAAAACACCAAGAAAGAGAGGCAAGAATGGAGGCAGTACCTCGGAAACAGTTGAACCAGTTGAGGTAATGTTGTACTTCATTAAGTAACATTCTGGATTGAGTAGCTGTGTGTCTCAGTTTCAAATTGGCCCCTGTTTCACTCTCCAATATTATACATGTAATTTTGTTTTCCTCTGGCAAAATTTTCCATCTCTAAATTAAAAGTCAAAACAATATACAAACTGTAAGTTCAATCACTTTCTGATGTTATGTTTGTTATTTAACACTTTGACTGCTAATGCCAACAGATTCTACCGTCAGTGCAGACAAAGAAATAAGCTGCACTGTTAAGTGTTAGCTAGCCTATTCTTTCAATGCATATTTTAAAAAAGTCTTTAAAGGTGGATGGATAATTAGGAAGTTTTGTCCTGTTTTAAAGATGGGCATGTCTTTTTGATAGGATATTTAATAAGGTTAGGGTTATATAGGAAACACCTGTTGCTTTTACTAATTTTCATCCGACTTGAAGCAGTGATATTTTTCCTGTATTTTACAGTCGAAAAAAAGCTGTTTGCCCTAGCTCAAAATAGGTATATTTTCCCCTATTAGGCCTAAAAATGCTAATATTTTCCCCTGAAATGCCCTGTGCACTTCTTCACCAGAACCATGACTATACAGCATCTGACTTGTTATATATCAGCTTTAAGACAGGAAGCTGTCCTTATAGCCTCTGCTATGTACCATGCATGTTAAATTGAATTGATATTGAAAATTTTATAATATGTGTGGGTAAATTGCATTCTCAGTTGTTGGAATTTGATTTTCCCCATTTCTAATTTATTGCCCTATATTTTCCCCTTCAGGAAGCCACAGGTTGTTTTGAAAATTTGAAAAAAAAATCACTGTGAAGATTATTACCACAATAGTCAATATATCTCAATGCCCAATTTTAGCACCATTGGATTTCTGAGCCTTTTTAACATTAATGTTTTAATTTATACGAAAGCATCTATGATAAATCATGTGACTGACTGATCAGGGGATAAACTCTATGCTATTTATAGACAAAAAATTACACTACGACTGTGTCATGGAATACGTACAGATATAATATTACCGTGTCAAATGTATAAATACTGTGTCAAAAAGGCAGGAAACGCTCTCTAGAGAAAACACTGATTTCTGTTAATGTATATGTATTACAGGTATACTGTAGAGTTAGACCTCTCGACAACCCTGGAGATGCAGTTTGTTTAACAGTTGTTAGTAATGATAAAGTCAAACTTCTTTCATCAGAGGTAAGAAAATTCTAATAATCACATTGGGATGCAGCATTCCCATAAATCTAGAATCATGTCAGGTAAATCAGGAATTTGCAAATTAGTCTTGGAATTTTAAGAATCGATCTTGAAAAATCAGCCGTATCCCCCACTCTTTTTTAAGAATTAACACTAGTATAAAGATTTAATATGGAGAGAATATTGACTTTTAGATAAGTTTTATTAAAACATCTCCCTTGACCTTATACTGTTCAAGGAAATGTTTTGAAAAAATCAAAATAGAATAAAAATAGAAAAGTGAGTGGACCAAAACAGTTCTTAATATATAGTTTTTTTTACAATTTATTTTTGGCCTAACCAGAATTCAGATTTGATTTAACAGTTTTTGCTTACTATTTAGACAGCATTGTCTGGAAAAGAAACATTGTTAATGGACTTGTCTATGAAGTTTCATTGTTTTGATTGTTAAATTATTGACTGTTTTAGAACTCACTAGCGTTTGCAAGAACAGGGCAGTTGAAGGAGATAGAGTATAAATTCCAGCATGTATTTGATGAGTATACTTCACAGAACGCCGTGTTTAACCATGTGGCCTATCCACTCATTGATGATCTGGTGCATGGGAAAAATGGTTAGTGAATATTTGTTTTGGGGCAAAGCTATCATAACATTTTAGATCTGGTACATGGGAAAAATGGTTAGTGAATATTTGTTTTGGGGCAAAGCTATCATAACATTTTAGTTAATGCCCCGATTGTATACAATAACATCTCCCTCTTTGACAGACAAAAATAATTGAAGAAAAAGGAAAGTGACATTTAATTAAAATGCAGCCCCAAACAGTGCCCAGCCACACAGGAACATGGGTAAGTCAACTGCACCATATAGGGCAACAAACAAAAAGAAGGGTTCAAGAGTGGAACAAGGAAGGGGAATATCAATCATAGCCAATAGTAAACTATTTAATTATAAAAGCTATCTATAGAAAATTAAAATCATTGAGGTTATTTATTGTAACAGAAATACAGGAAAAAGGGTGGAGGGGCAATAAATTGGGGGGAAAGTGGGTAGGACAAATTGAAAAGGAAATACATATTGTTTGGAGTTTCAATGAAATTCCATATAACGACTGCGTATTTGAGAAAAGCTGACCATCACCCTTTGAAAAATGAAGTTTATATGGACAAAATTAAATGGACTTGCAGTTTATGATGCCCAAGAGTAGTATTAATATATTTATGTACTGAATGGTGAAATTTTGTTCTTTAACAGTTTGAATGAATGTGTTTAATAGATTCAGCTATACAAAAAAATGTAACTTTTTAAGAGACTAATGTTGAAATGATCTCACAATTGAGAATTTATGTTAGTCCTTTTTACAGTGATGTCTTATCATTTCTGAATTGCAGTAAAAAAACCAACCGAACAACAATCATGTTTATCAAAAAGTAATTTCATTCAAGTGTTAATTTGTGTTTTCAGGACTACTGTTCACATATGGTATCACCTCGTCGGGAAAGACGTACACAATGACAGGCACACCTCAGGATCAGGGTATACTACCACGATGTCTGGATGTCATATTTAACAGTGTAGGGGAATACCAGTGTAAAAAATATGTAAGTCAAGTATCGTTTATACAGATTTTTAGCCTGAAACCTGCTAGAACAGAAACTGATTAGCCATTAACACTAATATAGATAATAGAGCCAGGTCAGCCTGCCTAACTTAACAGTCTCAGCGTTTTTTTCTCAACACTTTGGGAATGGTGCCGGTACCAGACTGATTGGGAAAAAATGCATTATTTTGACTTAAATTGGGAATTTTTATAATGCATTTTTTTCCAACTACAAATAATATTAGTCATCATGAATAAAGATAGCTAACAGCTTCCACGGTCCTGGTAAAATTTTTCCTCTCTAATTTTAAAGTCGAAACTTTATATATCTTGGATTATATGATTTAAGAGAAATCTTTTGGCCTTTGGGAATTTTGAACACCCTTTTTTTTTAAATTTAAACATTGGGAATTTTAATGTCTATTTTCTATTAGGAACAGTGCCGTTTAAGGGTACCCAGTGGTAGTTATATAAAGAAAAAAAACACTGAGTCTAGGCTGTATCCTGTTAGTAACTCAATATAAATTTGTATTTTCATATTGCAATTTAAAGTAAGGCGACTTTATTAAAACAAATTTAGCAGGTTAAGGGTTAAAATCCACGATAACAAATACAAATATGAGCCGTGTCATGACAAAACCAACATAATGGGTATGCGACCAGCATGGATCCAGACCAGCCTGCGCATCCGCAGCAGCATGGATCCTGATCAGACTGTGCGGATGTGCAGGCTGGTCTGGATCCATGCTGGTAGCACACGCACTATGTTGGTTTTGTCGTGACACGGCTCATATGTAATATCAAGCAAGAACAGTTTTTTTCCTGTTTTCATGATGTCTTGAATTCTATATTCATGTAGGTGTTTAAGCCAGACAAGATGAATGGATTTGAGGTACAGTCGGAGGTTGATGCCATGATGGACAGACAGAAAAAAGACATTTTACCTGGTCTAACACCTAAAACACCTTCAACGCCTAGAATAAAGTATGTCCCAATTTCATTTTAATCATGATAAGGTTACTAATCTAGGTCAGCAGTTTCATTCAGAAAGACAGATAATTGTTTTCTTGCATAGCAGACTGGCGTTTCCGTGAGTTTTACCCATGCCGGAAATTTCATCTGGCATGGGGGGTGCCAGATGAGTCGCGTGCCAAACAACAACGTCATTTTAGCGCCATTTATGAATGAACCGCGTTAAAATGACGTCGTTTTAGAAGGGAAATATGTGCTAAGGATGACGTCATTTCGCCGTTGTTATTTAAGTTGTAAGTTCATACGCTATTGTAAGAAAATAGTTATGGATGAAATGACTTTAATTTCCATGAACATATATCATATTGAGGTAAACCATTTTAAATATGAAATAATATGGCAGAATATGCAAGAAAAAATATCTTTCATATGTTTGCGGTTCGGATCGGAATATCCGTCCCTCGGGAACCCGCCCATGGGCGGGTCCCCTCGGGACGGATATTCCGGTCCGAACCGCAACATATGACAGATATTATTATTCTTCTTAATTAAATGTCTACATGTGATGAAATATCAACAAGGTAATAATAATTAGAATTTATTTAATATTTTAGTAAATATTTTGTAAAATCATAAGAAATGATTGAATAAATAGTTTGTCAGAATTACAAAATAATTCTATACTGAAATCCAATGAAAATGTATTAACACAGCGACTTTAATCCTTATCATGCTAAATGTTAATGTACGAGAAGACTGGCTGAGTTCTGATTGTGGCATTAGCAAGTACTTGTATGTGCTAGCTCTTTATAAGGACTTGGGGAAAATGTTTGTAAATGTTTTGCCTTAACCAGCTGGTCAATACTGTAAATAACTTACACCTTTAAAATATACAAGTTCTGTATTTTGAATTTCAGTAGGGATAAAGGGGAGTTTGGCAGAGACTGTGGCCGTGTGATCGACACTGGTCGTGTAAACGATGTTGATGAGGATAACACATATGCCGTGTTTGTGTCGTACATAGAAATCTACAACAATTATGTCTATGATCTTCTAGAAGAGTTACCATATGACCCAATTACAGGATACAAGTAAGTATATCGTCTTATTATGACACGGTTGATTCTCAGCACTTGGGGAAAATGACTCGATCCCTAGAATTTGGAATTTTTTTACGATATTTCAGACAAATTGGTAAAAAAACTTGACAACATATTGTATACATTAAATATTTTGTGCATCAAATTTAGACAATGAAATCAATTATTTGGTTACTTTAACTCCTTTTGTATTTCATTCATAAGCAAATGTTACAATATTTGGTATACAAGATTACAATTTTCTATGGTATAGTCACAGTGCTGTTTAATGTAACAAAATGACAGATATTGTACTTATTTTTTTTGTTCCTTGGAATGAGAATTTTCTTGTGAAAATTGGGGAAGTTGAGATAAAAAATATACTTTTTGGCATTTGGAATATGATCAAGCCTCTGTATGACTCAATTACAGTAAAGAAGTGAAAGTATATGACTTTGAGCCATGCCATGACAACAAAACCAACATAGTGCGTTTGCGACAAGCACGGATCCAAACCAGCCTGCGCATCCGCGCAGTCTGATCAGGATCCATGCTGTTCGCTATCAGTTTCTCTACTTGTAATAGATTTTTGGTAAGCGAACAGTATAGATCCTGATCAGACTGTGCGGATGCTCAGGCTGGTCTGGATCCACGCTGGTTGCAAACTCACTATGTTGGTTTTGTCATGACGCGGCTCTTTTATGAATTCAAGTTAGATCTTAAAAATGATATATTTAAGTTACTGTAAAAGTATATGTAGATTTTTCATGTATTAATTTATCCATAAGTGGTCAAAAGGTGCATTTTATATAATAAATATTTGACATTTTAGCAGTTAGGAATGTTTGCTATTGTAATAAGTGACTCAATAATATTACATAACTGTAATGTTATCAACATCGTTCATCCATGGAATGTCTTGTTTTTGGCTATATCTTTACATGTACAGAAAGGGAACAAAAAATTCTTTTATCTCACTCAGTTTCACACTATGAGATATGACTTTTATCTCAATTGAAAAATTACAATATATACCTCTTAAAAAAGGCAGTGAATGATGTTGTGTATATGGTTTTATTTACAGACCTCCGCAGTCGAAGTTTCTGCGTACAGATGGCTGTGACAACATGTATGTGATGAGTTGTACAGAAGTTGAGATCAAAGCACCAGAGGAAGCTTTTGAGGTGTTGTATAAAGGTAACGAAAATATATATGAGCAGCGCCAACATAATGCGTTTGCGACCAGCATGGATCCGCGCAGTCTAATCAGGATCCATGCTGTTCACTTACAAACCCTATTACAAGTAAAGGAATTGATAGCGAACAGCATGTATCCTGACCAGACTGCGTGGATCCATGCTGGTCGCAAGCTCATTATGTTGGTTTTATCATGATGAGGCTCATATTACTATTCTAAACAATTGGGTTGAGACTTGCGCTATAAAGGGATATGATCAGAATATCTTGACCTGAAACTTGAGTTTTTTTTTCTGGGATTTTTAATGCAAGGGTCACACAAGATGCATAAACAATTACCTTTTGTTATATACCTTAAAGTGATATTGTACATTTATTTGTTAACGAGATAGCGCCAGTAAACAATACAGATTGTCTTACTGCCGGTTGTATTTGTGCGTGTAATGCATGCAATAGAATATAGATAAATATCTTTACAAATATATAATGAATTATGATTATAAATCTCTTTAACCCTCGCCATGTCAAATATCTCCAATGGACTTGTCTAGACAAAACCATTGCATGAGTGGTCATAGCAAAATTTCATATTGGTCATTTTGCTTCAAAATATGAATAGTCAATGAATTGTTCCCTGTGTGAACATCCGGATTATGGTATTTGCATGCAACTTTATTGGTGATTTACTACATTGATAATATTTATTCATACTTCTCACATATTCTGTAATAGAATCATAGTTTGTAGGTCATTGAACCTTTTGAAACTTAGAAGTCAAAGTTCACACTATAGTGCATTGTCTCTAATATTACAGGACAGAAAAGACGAAAAGTGGCACACACAGCACTGAATGCGGAGTCAAGTAGAAGTCACAGTATATTCAACATAAGATTGGTACAAGCTCCACTAGATCCTTGTGGTCAGGAAGTTCTTCAGGTATGCCTCATCTGCCTCAGGCTCAATTCATCATCTTTAGACAGGTCCAGGACCAATTCCCAATTTTAATTCACTTTGCCTTAGGTCAAGGACGCATTTCAAAGTCCTATTTTTCCTGAATATTTTTCAACGTTTCTAGGGATTTTGCATTCTTACCTGTGAAGAAGCTATTAAGCTAGCTCACAGAAGGTCATAGGATCTACTTGGGTTGCTGCTTTGTTTCTGAAATAATTCAGAGGGATGTGAAAGGTCTTCCTTTACCAGTAAAGCTGGACTGTAGCCATATGTTAGTAAGAGTGAAAGAATTGATTACCTATTTTAAATAAAGTTATTGCAAACTATACAGTCAGTGTTTAAATGACTGTAATCAGAGGCCAAGTATAGAAAAATTTATTGTTTTTAGCTCAACTATTCATTATGATATTATCTTACACTAGCAAGCATCTGCGAGTCATTTTCATTAAATGAAAGTAGACAGCACCTTTTTGTTTATTTTAGGACAATGAAAAGATCATTGTGAGTCAACTATCTCTGGTAGATCTTGCTGGTAGTGAGCGGGTGAACCGGACAAACAACAAGGGGGACCGGCTGAAAGAAGCAGGTACGCATAACTAAATTATATAATTGTCTTGATCAAGTAACATTTTGTGTTTAAGTTACAATAACAATAGACCTATGTCATTAGTATACTGTATAGTAAGGTCATCCTTGAAGTCTGACCAGACTGTACAGTAGAACTTCGTAGGTCAAAGTTGAAGGGACTTGCGTTTCATTTTAATGACAAAATTTCAAAAATCACCGATGGTTACAGGTGTGAGAAGTCTGGATCATTGGTGTAAAATTTATTAATGGACTTTGATTTATTTATGATAAACATGATAAAATGTTCTTGGATTCTTTACGGACAAGGGAAAAAATTTACTCATATACTGAAGGTTTTTGTAAAGAAATTATAGTTGAAAAAAATCAGGTCTTTTATTTTAATTGGACACACGCATCGGCACATGGAGGAAATTGACACATAGATGTTCTACTGTAATATTGGTAGCTACTCAGTATATATATCACACTATAAGGTTTTAAAGGTTGATGCACACAAAAGTTAATGTCTTTACTCTATGAAACAAAATGTATCAATGCATACTAAATTAATATTTAACTTGCAGCGTAAAATAAGTTATTATTACTGTATGTGTATTTAAATTCGCGGAAGCAAATTTTCGCGGAAAGGTCAATTTTGGGGGTATATACAAATATTCGCGCTATTTTGAATTCGCGGAGGTGACTGCCGAAAATCATAAATTCGCGTACACCCATCAGGTCAAAAACTAAGGGAAATTACTCTTACATGATTAGCCAATGGTTTTCGCAAGCAGCCTTCTTTCATTTTACATACTTTTTACAGTAACCATTGTGGGTCTTCACAGTTATTTTCAACACCTGGTGTCAAACAATACGCTATTGTTCAGAACAAAGACATTCAATTTGTCTAGCGGACAGATTATCGCAAACAAAAGAATGTCCGTTAACGTGCGTGATTTTTCACAGTTTTAAACAGCACTGGATGAGACCATAATCTTTCCACCGATTTTGTTAAAATGTTGACTGAGTAATTGTGTTTTGTTTTCCATGTTTTCATCAGTTAAAATCGTCAATGTTTGTGTTGTTTGTCATGTTTGTTTAGAAAAACAAAATATAATATGATCATATGTCAAGACGTTTATCACTCAGACTATGAAAAAAATAGCGTGATACAATGGTATTGTTCAAACATGTATATACTTATATAAGAATCCGATAATCATATCAGTCAAACAATAATACGCTAGCAAACTGATTTATATACAGAGCTGAATGTTACATGTACAGTTTATACAACAGTAAAATCACTTTTTGAAAGCGCCATGGATACAAAACTTATGGCAGCCGTGAACACGCTGTTATACATTGTTCTATAGATGCGCGAAAATATGACTATTAAGAAATTATTGGTGTACAAATATTCGAGCTAAGCATGAATTTGCGGATTGAATGTCACCGCAAAGATCGCGAAAATTTGAAGCCCGCGAATATTTATACACATACAGTGTATTATTCGACAATACGGTCAAGCTGATGCCTAGATTCAAACTCTTTAATATAATATTAATGTACTCAGAGTTATTGAATCAACTTGCTCAATTACAGTTTTATACAACTTTTAAGGCTTAGTTAGTAATCCTTTCCTAGAGAAACATGTGAAATGGTGAAAAGTGTACACTACAGAGATAAATGTTCACACGGTGAAATGTCTTGTTATTTTAAAAGAATTTATTTCTGGAATGTAGGTAATATAAACCAGACTCTGATGTCACTACGAACATGTCTAGAGATGCTTAGGGAAAATCAGATGACGGGTGGAAACAAAATGGTGCCGTACCGGGACTCCAAACTTACACATCTGTTCAAGAACTACTTTGATGGAGATGGTCGTGTCAGGATGGTTGTGTGCGTGAACCCGAAAGCAGAAGAATTTGATGAAACTGTTGTAAGTATTTTGACCTTTGACCTTTTGTGAATTTACATAATTCCGTGGATGTGAAATCTTGTAGTTTTGTCACAAAGTAAATTTTCGTGGTTACTTTAATTTGTAGACTGTTTATCTTACCAAAAGGTAAAATGTAAATAATGTGATGCAAAATAATCTTAAAGCAGACAAAAATTTTGTTTGGTCTTAAAGTTGTAGATTGACCTATCCACGAAAACCACAAATTTAGTGCCCCACAAATAAGTATGATTTTGCAGTATCTAAAGTATGTTAACATAAAGTTGAAATTCATTAATTTTAGCTAGGTTCAACTTATTGAAATAGCTTTCAAGTACTATCTGGCACTGTAACTATTGAAGAATAGAGTTAAATACTAAATGAGGTAAATTAATTGGGTTCAGGTTACTGACATTGCTCATGCCAGAAATAATGCACAGAAGGGTCACTAAAGTGTACCTCCATAAGATTGTTACATGATTGTATTAGTAAGGTAAACATACTTTAAACTACCATGATGCCCCCTGTGGCTGAGGGGTTTCCTTTAATGATAGAGGCATAAGAGTTGCAGCCACCATTAATCCCTGCGTGATCGTAAGGGGCGACTACATGGGTCTGATTAACTGAAGTCTATGCATCTCTTAGCTCCAGGAGATTAGGTGGTTTTGACCCCTTGTGTTGCTTTGAAATTTGTAACACCTAAGGTTAGCCAAAATCAACATTCCTGCTTTGGCGCTTTTTGACATAAACTGTGTTGGTGCGCCATAAAACCAACCAAACAAACAAACAACCATAATAATAGAATTTTAATAAGAAAAAAATATAATACTTTTTAATAGTTTAATAACAGTGCAGAGTGAAAACTTGTGTCAGGGAAAATAGAGGATAACAAAGAAGCAAAGAATTTCAAAGTTTTATACAACACCATTATCATTTCAAACCCTTTCTTAAGGTATAGCTCATCTCAAAGTTTTTGGACTAGTGGTGGGGAATTCTTTAAGAAATAGGGGGAAATGTAACATTTTGGAATGGGGAATTAGCCTTAAAAAAAGGACACTGATTGTGGTATATATTTATTCTTGTTTACAGCATGTTATGAAGTTTGCCGAGATGTCACAAGAGGTCATGGTTCAGAGGTCACAGCAGGTGAAGTTTGACCTTGGATTGACCCCAGGTCGTAGACGCCTGGGAGAAAAATTACGAGAGGAGCGGTTAAGAGAGGAGGCTGAGAGAGAAATTAAACAAGAATGTGAGTTGATTATTCATTACTTTAGATTTTTGGCATATAATCATTAGTGAATATAGATAGGGGATATTGAATGAGTGTAAGCCAGAGGTTCGCATAATATAATTTTATTCGAGTTCAATAAATTCAGTTATGAACTTACACAAATTTAATATTCTATTTATCACATACCAAAAATAAAGACTGTTTAAAGAGTAACATCACGTGAAATACCATTTTTACGGAGTCGCAAAATCAGCAAGGGTGTGTGATAAATAATTGTTATTAAGATTTCTCTTCATTTGTTTGTTTTCTTATGGACTTTTCCAGTTTTCAACAGTGAAAAATGATAACACCACATTTTTCTGTTCATTACTAGGTCAACTGCTCACAAACAGTATCATAAGCAAAGCTATGTGTTCTTTTGTGTAAATCAGGTCAACCAGTGACCATGTATAAAATTGGATGTTACAAACATGCAACTCAAGTGTACATGTATTTATTTTGTTGGGGTTTTAACAAATAATTGTGTTTTAAAGTTGTCTTTATTGTGAATTAAAATCTAAATAATTTTCATTTATTTTTCTGACAGTGATGCCAGTACCTTTACCTAGTCTTATTTATACATTAGGACCAGACTTCCCTAATCTTGAGGTAAGCTCAGAGTTCATCATTATCTGATATGTTTATATGATTAAAGGGCCTAAATTTTGAGATATTAAGTTGATTTTGTTTTTGGTTGATCTATTTATAAAGAGTTTCAGTTGCTGACTTGAGTTTAAGTTTGAAGCTTCCCTGCAAGCTTATGAAAAAGATCTGTGGTCCCAGTTTGGTGCCTTTAAGTTTCATACTTTGTCTTTATTAATGTGTCACTTAGGATCCTCCTTTATAATAAAAGCTGGAAAGTAACGAAATGTCAATTACATTGTTAGTGATACTTCAAACAAGAGCAAAAAGTGAAATATTTACATGGGTGTAAATATTCAGGATTTCCCAGAATTCTGGATATTTTTCAAATTCCCCTTTTTTTCTCAAAGAATGCTGGAGGCAAAATTACTATATACAGGATTTTATAAATATGATGTTGGGGGTAATATGATTAAATTCCACCTGTCAACAAATTGATCACAAGATTTGTGTTATATATTAGAACCTTTTCCCTTGGATTAGGATTTAGGGCAATTGGTTTGTGGTTTCTTGAGTTTAAAAATAGCTTTTGTTATCTCCCTTTATTGTTTTGTTATTCTGTAAACGTTAAAGGCACCTTATGCCTCAGAAATTCATAATTATATACTTCTTAAGAAATATCAAATAATGGATGTAGAGCATTTTAGTTGTTTTAAAACTTAAGGAATTAGCGCTGAACGTGCAGAAATGTGTCAAAGGTAAAAAAAATATGCAAACAAAGTAGTATTTTGACTTCCATACAAAATACCAATGTACTATAATTATACCAATTATTAACAGAATAAAGGAAGCAAAAAATACTAATAGTTCACCAATGTGGCAAATAAGTAATTTTTGGAAACTGTAAAATGATGCCAAAAATAAATGTTTTTTGAGGAATGAAAATGATAGCATTTTTGAGGCATTAATGATCATCTATCTGTAATCTATTCTTGTAATTTCAGTTGGTAGATTACAGTGATGAGGAAACATTGAGAAGGTTGATACAATGCCTGTGTGAACGTGACACAAAAAGACAAACTTTACTGATTGACTTTGAAGCCAAAGGTATGTTCTGTATATTGCTTTCTTCCACGGGATTATATTACATGTTCAGTTTCCGTAAGGGCCAATTCAATATTAAATTGCTGAATTTCCTGAACGGACTTGTCCAACTTTTATTTTGGCTCTGTCCATTACCAATTTTAAGGGATGCCATACTGAAATTTAGGACTTTGGTTATCCCAAAAGTTTACAGCTTGGCCTTGACTGCATGGATATGAAGTTTAATCTAGCTGTTTGCGAATGCTTTAAGTTGTTTACAAGATTAGTGTATTATAGAGGCTGAAGAAGACTTGAATTTCATTAGCGTTTCCTTGTTTGTTTGCTTTCCTGCTGACTTTATGAATGAAAAAAAAAATACTCAATGTTTCTGGTTCTGAAAATAGACTTCCTTAAGAACATTAGGGGGGGGAGGAGGGCATTGGGGACATGTTTCAGCATAATAGATTTTCCTGTTTTAAGTAGGGATGGCAACGAGTAACTGTTTAACCGAGTACTCTATCGAACGTCCGAATATCGGTTAACGAAATTGATATTCGATTACTCAGAAAAAATATATAATTTATATTTTTTAACTATTTAGAAAGATTGGTGTGTCCAATTAGTTCTGAAATTGGGAATTATGCATGTATCTTCATAAATACCTGTTCAATGCAATCAAAACATCCTTGCAGAGGTGCGAAAAGTATATCATAAATTTAACGAGGCGATCAACAGTTTGACATGCGCACCTGTGTCGCTTATGTCATCCAGCTTTTATGATATTCAATAAACTTTAATTGTGTAACAGTTTGTAGCGGAAGTAACTGTTTTGAAAACAACAAAAAGCCGATTGCAATTATGAATGTAAGAATAAAGGTAACTAGTATTTAGACCCGTATTAAACTTTTGTTGCCGCCGATCAGTCCATATTATTTCAAGACGAAAAAAGATATATGAACTGTTATACATGTTTTAAACTTGATATTGCATTAATTAAAACGTTGTAAAATATAATGTTGTTGAATTAATTTTAATTAATTTTTCTCTCGTGCAATCCTATTTATAGTTACGAATTATATGAATTTAAATCGAAAACGAAAGTAGCATGTGGACGGTGTTGATAGTGTGAGATTAACTTTGAAGATCACTAGAAATCATCCGAGTAACCGAGTACTCGATCGGAAAAATGACCGAGTACTCGAGTATTGATTTTTGTATTCGTTGCCATCCCTAGTTTTAAGCTATTTGTCACTGTATATGTTTAACATACAATAGTTATAGTGAAGCAGATTTCTTATTTTCTCAATATCTCTTCAGGAAATCAGTTTAGAAATTATCTACTGGACTTTGAGAGAGATTATGAACGATTGAAGGAGAGAAACGAGGAGCTTGAGTCAGTCACAAACAAACATGGAAGTTTGACGTCCAAATTGGAATCGAAATGTCGAGGTCTCGAGCAGAAGGTCAGCTCCCTACAGCATCAGTTGAACGAGGCTGACCGATTAAGACGTGAATTTGAGGCCAAGGTAATACTAAGATCAAGATTGTTGAATATATTTGGAGACGAGTCTTCCTGCAAAAATAGTTTTTTCCTAGTTTTTACCTTTGTACATTTTAATCTAAATAGTTTGCTGGTACATTTTTCTCTGCAAAATATTGATTCTACAGGCCTGTTTTTCCCAACTTTTTCGGAATGGCACAAACACATTTTGGAATTGAGGAGAAAAGCAGCATTAGAAGTCCAAATTGGGAATGCTTTTGGTTTTAAAAATGCCTCATTTTTCAAGGAATAACTGTATAAGAAGAACTAGAACTCCATGAGTCGGATGTGTCGCCTTGTGAACAGTATAGTTGTCACTTAAGCATGTTCTTCTTAAATGTAGGTTATTTATTAACACTGCTAAAGGGCAATAACTAAAAAAATAAGAAGTGCAGAGTACCAGTTTTTGTGCACTGCACTTCTTCTTAATGAGATCTATCATCCTATGAAGATAATCAAGTCCATAGCTTTTATAGTTGATGAGAAATGGCCTGGACAAAATTAAAGTATTAAAATTAACAAAGGGCAATAACTCAAAAACCATGGCAGGGCACTCGTTTGGTGGTTTTTAGGGCCGAATATGGGTACCGTTCCCCTCTCAAAATCATATGTATTTTTCCCTTATCTCAGAAAAAAATCCCCTCCAAATTCTAAAAGTCTCAACTTAAAGTAATTGTTTGATTTGTTAGTCTAATACTAGCTATTGATTTCAATGGTAGGAAAATAACAAACTATTGAAACCAATGGTAGGAAATAATGTAATGTGTAAATGTGATAAAAAATACACTAAATACATGATAACATAAAATTTCGAATTTTGTCTTAAAACGACGCAAAATTTCCCTTCCTTAGGGCATGGGTACCTGTCTCCAAAAGGTGTTTTACCAGCTTTTATTGCAGCCATTTCATTCTGTTTTGTATATGTATATTACAAATGAATATATAGACACTGTACATACAGCACCATTTTGAATCTTGTGTCATGATACAATATTGTGTTATATGTTTACAGTTGTATGATAAGAGTATGAAGATCAGACAAGAACAAACGGAGAAAGAAAGATTGAAGGACAACTTTAAACAGAGATTAGAGATGAATAATATACATTGGGAAGAAAATTTGGTAAAATCATTCTTCTTTAGTTTTCATTATTAGGGTTGCTTATAGGTGTTATTAAGAACTCCTCAGCAAATGTAGATTTTTGGTTTTTTCTGTTTCCAATAATATGGGCAACACAGCATTCTTATTATCAATACATTTAGTAAGTTGTAGCTGAAAAAGTTTGTTTGTACCCGAGATTAGATTGAGGGGGGGGGGGGGCGAATGCAGAGTTCTGGAGTATCCCTATAAAGGTCTCATGCAGTAATAAACATTTGATAGCAAAACTCAGTGCATAGGTTTTTATGATAAAAAAAGATGTTATCTAAATTTGAAAGGTAAGTATTGGTTTTCTTTGATACAGGAGTATTGTCACTTTAATGGAATTTTCTTGCATATCAGACAGGATTATCTTCCCTTTACACCGGTGCTAGAAAACTCAATCTTACCTTTTGAATCTTGTCAAGGTCTTTAAATCTTTTCTCAGGATAAAGGCAAAAAAGAATTTTAATGCAAGGTGTGGCTTATTGTTCAGTTTTCTTACAAAACAGATAAATACAGAATCCCTAATACTCTCTAATCCCTAATACTGAATCCCTAATACTGTTAAACTAATGTGATGTTACTCTCTTAAATACTGTTATGCCTTGTCGTGTTTGAAATATTTAAAGAGGTGTGCATGGCTAAGTGACAAAGGTTACTGTTTAAAAAAATGTTTATAAAATGTAGAAGCTCCAGGTGTTTTCTATCACCTAAAGTTGAAAGTTGTCATCATTTAACCTAACAATGATATGTTTGAATAGGAATGAAAATTTTCAATGTTAACCCCGAATACAGGATATTCAGATCTTAATATAATAGTGTAACAGGTTTTGCTCATTTAAGGAATTTTTTTATAATTTTCAAACATTTGAATCATTTGTAGGATAAGGAAAGAAGGAAAATTGAGCGAGAAATGGGGATGGCATTGGAGGAGAAGGAGAAAAAGTTCAGTATGATGAAAGAAGTGTTGGACAGTGATACCCCGGTAGCTAAACCACGTACGTTCAAAACGCCAGGAACCACGATAAAGACTAGGACCTACACAACACCAGGTAAACTTAGGAAATTTACATTTATTAGGCTATTGTTTTACTATCAAGCGCTTAGAATAGTCAAGTGCGCCGTCCCACAGACAGCTCTTGCAGTGCTGCATCTAGAATTTCAAAATTATGGGGGATTGTCCCCCACTCAACTGAAAAATGTGGGGGATTGAAAAAAATGAGGGGGGACATAAATTTACCTTACAATATGAAGTATCGAAAATAATTCATTTATTTAATGTTTAGGCATTTTTGACTGCTATCGTCCGCTCAACAACAGAAATAGAAAAAATAGAATATTGACAAATACAACAACATACACAGAGATGACCCAGTTCAGCTGCTACACGCGATTTAGTATGTATTTCAGTCATAACCACGAGTGGAAAAAAACATGGCTGAAGGGATACGATGACGATAAACTGAATTTATTTCAAATATGCAACTTGGTGCGCATTGACTTCAATAAAACGCGCGATCTGCATAAATTATGTGCAAATTACACAATCACGCAGCCTAGATGCAACACTGCTCTTGTTAAAGATCTAGAGATTACTATCATTTTCAGGGGTGATACAGAGTGCCAGGTCTGAGTCTGACGTGTCTTCTATTGGTGTACCTGCCCCGAGGACGAGAACCACATCAGCTGTGCCATCAGTTCGACCCTGGGGCTATGGTGGTAACAACAAACGCCCAGCTCCAAAGACCCCATCAGTTACACCAAGAAGTGTAAGTTTTCTGTTAAGAAAGTAACAAACATGAAGAATTATTTAATATTATTTGTTCAGTTTGCACAAGTAGCAAAAAAATGTAATTGAAAATATACTTTTAACATTTAAGTGAAATAATGATATAAATTTATTGGGTGTTTTTTTTTTTTTTTTGGGGGGGGGGGTGTAAAAAACTTGTTTTAATCATAATTGTTTTAAGCATACATGTATTTGTAAAAGTAAGCCAGTCTTTGGTTTAAAAAAAAATAGCTTGTTGCCTTTATGCGCATTAACAAGTTAAGTCTTATTTAAATGTAATAGGTGTTACTGCACAAAGGTGACAATTTATTGTATATATTTTAGTGAACTATTATTCGAGCATGTTGTACCTTGTTTATTTCAGATACCTCAGTATAATTTAAGACATAGAAGATCCAAATCTAACTCCGAAACATGGCTGGACCATAAACCACCAGGACATTTAGATCTTGGTAAATAAATTTTCTTATCTTGTTTATCACAGGGGGATGGTTGGACTGAGGTGATATTAACCTTTGCACCGCTTAACATTCCCATCATAGTATCTTCCTTTTTTACCTTGAACAAAAAAATTGTATTGTATCAATTATGCTAAAGATGGTAAAGTTGTAAAACGTATAACCTAATTTCATTTACAGACAAAGACAATGTGAATTAATCTAGATAACCACTTGACCAAAACACCTTTAAAAATTTCCATCCCCAAGGGTGTAAATAATTTTTCCATTTTCTAAAATAATAGGGGAGAGGATGGGGTTAAAAAACAACCCCTGTTATATATCTTCTGTTCATGTTTACAGACACTGTATTACAACCAACATTGAAGAAGAAGAAATCTGTAAGTAAACTCGAGTCTAAGGATACGAAAGTGGCCTCTAAATATATGTTGACGGATCAAGGTTTAAATTCTGATGGCGAGTTTCAAACCAGATATTTCAAGGTAAGTGTCTCATTCAGTTTTACTGTCTGTTTATAAGTTGTGAAGGGTTTAAAGCTTTTTCTTGCCAAATATTATATACAAATAAGCTATGAAAATTTCAAAAACTATTCAATGACGTCACGTTGTATTATTATTTGGCGCCCCTTTTCATTTAGTACTACTAGATTAAAATGTCTTTTTAAACGTTTCTTTGCATATAATAAAAAGAAAATTTGTTTAGTTTAATGTAAGATCGAAATATATTTCACCTCGTGAACACCAAAAGTTCATATTTCACTCGTGGCTGCACCACTCGTGAAATATACCTTTTGGTGCTCACTCGGTGAAATATATTCCGATCTTACACTGAACTAAACAAATATCCTCTATTTAATCAAATCTTGAATGTCACTTATGTATCAATATTGCCTTGTTCAATGTTGGCCCTATACATAATGTTTGCCATATGACCTGAACAGTTTTGTAGCTACTAAAAATAGACTTATTCCAGATTTAAGAATATTCTGCGTTTTTCCCAGCTAATCTGTAGGTACAAACAAACTTTTACAGTTATGGTTTTGGAAATACCCATTACAGGTTGACTAATCTATTGTGACAGGCAATGCACCCTGAAGCTATAAGGGTAAAATATGTTGTACCTATGGGATTAGCTGCGAAAAAACAGCATTGGCCGAATTTCAAATAACATCTATTCACTGGATCAAAAAAGAATATACATCAAAGACTGTAATGATTCATTGTTGATTTTAGGGAGATGTGATACCTACCTCTGGGGGCGGAGCTTCTGTCATCTTTAAAGATGTAGAAATCCACAAACAGAAGGAGCCAGGGACCAGGAAGAGACGAAGCTCGTGCCCACAGCCGACAGATTTTGACGGTGAGTGGACCGATCCGGAGGAGAGATGTGCAATTGCGATAGAAGGTCACAGAAGAAAGTAAGTATCTTATTTAATCTTTGTTTATGATTTTTGAGTGTTGTGAAAATTTTTCTTTTGTATATATATTTGTGTACTTACAGCAGCACGCCTCCAGATTCTTTTAATTTTCATGAAAATTTTGGAAATGTATTAAAAAGTAAAATATTGTGAGGTGAACAAAAAAAGTAATTTACATAAAAATGATATTGCAATCGGCACTTACAATCCAAGAAAAATACCAAAAAGTGGTCCACATATGCAAAAACAGCCCATACTGCGTTAGTAACACAGTATAAATAAGGTGATTAAATACTGCAAAATCAGTCTTAAACCGCACATAACATGTGAAATATAACTTGGATCTTCAATATTTTTACCTTTCTTAAAATTTTAGTACATTTTTTCTAAATATTGATTTTCTTGAAATATTTTGGCTCATCTGGAGGCGTGCAGCTTTAAAAAGACCAAAGGTTTTCTCTTTAAACTAAACATCGTATCTTTAGACTCATTATATTATACCACATGGGTGCTTTGTGGCTGAGTTGTTAAGGTTGTTACTTCAATTCACTTGCCCCTCATGGCTGTGGGTTGGAATCCTATGAGGAAGCTAACCAGCTAGCTTACAGAACGTCGATGGTTCTACTCATGGGCCTGTTTGTACCTAAAATATTACTTGGAGGAGCACCAGTAAAGCTGGAAAGTCGCAATATGACCTTTACAATGTAAGTGCCCTGTAATAAGCAACCAAACATGAAAAGAGCATTCCACTGTCCAACATGCATTACTCTAGTACAGAATTTAAAAAAAAAACAGCCTTTATTGCTCTGGATAGACCCTGATGGATTGAACATTGTTTTACCATGAGACACAGATATAAGTCAAATGTGAGACAAATACGAGTCAGATGCACACGAAAACATCAACTTGTCTCATTTTAAGGTTCAAAATAACCAATTTTAGAATTTAGTACCTTTGCATCTTTACACAGATTTTTAAATTTTTGATAATGTTAATGTGGTAAAAATGAAAAATGGACTAAAATGGATAATACATTATTAGCTCACCTGTCACAAAGTGACAGGGTGAGCTTTTGTGATCGCTTTTCGTCCGGCGTCCGTCCGTCGTCCGTCCGTCGTCCGTCCGTCCGTAAACTTTTGCTTTAAATGACATCTCCTCATAAACCACTGAGCCAATTTCATCCAAACTTCACAGGAATGTTCCTTTGGTGGTCACCTTTAAAAATTGTTCAAAGAATTTAATTCCATGCAGAACTCTGGTTGCCATGGCAACCAAAAGAAAAAACTTTAAATATCTTCTTTTAAAAAACCATAAGAGCTAGAGCTTAGATATTTGGCATGAAACATCTTCTAGTGAGTGTCTACCAAGTTTGTTCAAATAAAAGCCCTGGGGTCAAAATTGGCCCCGCCCCTGGGGGTCATTGATTTTCCCTATATGCATAAAGTAAAAACTTAAAAAATCTTCTTTTAAAGAACCCAAAGAGCTAGAGCTTAGATATTTGGCATGAAACATCTTCTAGTGAATGTCTACCAAGTTTGTTCAAATAAAAGCCCTGGGGTCAAAATTGGCCCCGACCTAGGGGGTCATTGATTTTCCCTTTATGCTTATAGTAAAAACTTAAAAAATCTTTTTTTAAAGAACCAAAAGAGCTAGAGCTAAGATATTAAGCATGAAACATCTTCTAGTGAGTGTCTACCAAGTTTGTTCAAATTAAAGCCCTGGGGTCAAAATTGGCCCCGCCCCGGGGGTCATTGATTTTCCCTATATGCATATGGTAAAAACTTAAAAAATCTTCTTTTAAAGAACCATAAGAGCTAGAGCTTAGATATTTGGCATGAAACATCTTCTAGTGAATGTCTACCAAGTTTGTTCAAATAAAAGCCCTGGGGTCAAAATTGACCCTGCCCCAGGGGGTCATAGATTTTCCCTATATGCATAGAGTAAAAACTTAAAAACTATTTTAAAGAACTCAAAGAGCTAGAGCTAAGATATTTAGCATGAAACATCTTCTAATGAGTGTCTACCAAGTTTGTTCAAATAAAAGCTCTGGGGTCAAAATTGGCCCGCTCCAGGGGGTCATTGATTTTCCCTATATGCATATAGTAAAAACTTAAAAAATCTTCTTTTAAAGAACTCAAAGAGCTAGAGCTAAGATATTTAGCATGAAACATGTTCTAATGGGTGTCTACCAAGTATGTTCAAATAAAAGCCCTGGGGTCAAAACTGGCCCCGCCCGGGTTGGGGGGGGTCATTGATTTTCCTTATTTGTGTATAGCAAAAACTTAAAAATCTTCTTTGGAAAAACCCAAATAGCTAGAGTTTAGATATTAAGCATGAAACATCTTTAAGTAAATATCTACAAAGTTTTGTTAAAATAAACGCCCGGGGTCAAAACTGGCCCTGCCCAGGGGTGACATTGTTTTTAACTATATGTGTATAGTAAAAACTTTAAAAATCTTCTTTTAAAATGCCAATGAGCTAGAACTTAGATGTTTAGCATGAAACATCTTCTTATGGGTGTCTACCAAGTCTGTTCAAATAAACAAATAAAAGCCCTTGGGTAAAAATTGGCCCAGGGGTGGGGGGCCTATATACAGGTGAGCGACCTCAGGGCCATCATGGCCCTCTTGTTTTTTGTTTATTTTACAAAAAAATTTACACATATTTCACTAGGAGAAGTAAACAGTCGCCAGAACTTATTTCAGTTGTTTAGACAACATGTAGGTAACTAGATAATATCAGGGAGAAATTAAAGAAACATAAATCATTTATATCATTATAGCAAATATGTAACACCATGTTTACCCAAAGAGCTTCTTCCCCCCTCTTCACACCCCCCCCCCTCAAAAGGAAGGAAAAAAAGAAATCTGTTGGGATAAAATTCTTATCATGTGTATCATATGTGTATCATGTATTGTATCTTAAAGCTGTTTACAGAAGGTTGGTGGTTTAAATTTTTAACTCAGGTGCTTGTAATAATGGATGTTTTGGTATCCAAGGTATTTCACTGCCAGTAAAAGCTGGAAAGTCGTCATATGATTATTAGTAATGGTGTGATTTAAAATCCATCTGAAAACCAAACTCAAACAAAGAAACTGTATTCACAATTTCACATTATTCCCTCTTTATGAAATTTTTTTTTGGTGTTTCACAAGGAAATAAATTCTAGATTTAATCTTTTTAAAAGTTCTATCCAACAAGTTGCTTTGCTTTAGAAATTAGAATACACACATGTATTTGCAGGAACAGAGAAATTCAGTCCACATTGTCCAGTTTACTACACATTATATGGGCTGGCAATGTTTATAGTATTAATATACATGCAAAATTTACATTATGATAGTCAGTCTGTTAAAAATATTCGACTAATTATATCTCAGCTTGACAGTTTAAAATTAATAAGCATAATCATTTAATGTCACTTTAACTTCCAATCTGACCAACATTGTCAGTTTTGTGAATTGAGAAAGCATATTGGTGCCAAATTTAAAAACATAGCTTACATCTGCTGTCTAACATACAACTGACAACATGTTTAGTCTTTCTATACGGATAAATTTTAATTTGTAAATAGAGAAAACTTTTAAAAAACATTTTTAGCAGTTCTGGCTGTATTAAACTTTTTTCATCCATTCAAAACTATATGAGAGATCAGCATGAAACATGTAGGTAGATAGATATCATTTGGTTGAAATGCAGTACAAAATAATCATAACTATATCTTGCTAAATTTTGGAGTTATTGCCCTTTGCGCAGTTGTACACTTTGAACTTTGTCCCAAACTTAACTCTAAAACAAAAAGAGATATCAACATGAAACTTAGTAGGTAGAAAAATGTAAATTGTAATGAAAAAAGTCTTGTCCAAATCACATTATTTTACTTTAAAATACATTTTCAAAATTCATGAATCTGGAGGTATCCTGCTTTAAGCATACTCTACTGTATATTATATATTTTCTGTTTACCATGGCCTTGGCCTTGAGTTGCAAGAGAATATTTTATAAGAAGAATGTTATTGGTTGAGGCTGCAAGTTAGTGCCTGCATATTTTTTTATTTAACATGGGAAATTTGTTCATAATCATACCCACTGGTGAAAGCTTGTTTCCATTACACCCATTTTGTCATCCATATATCAAAGTTTATATCTATGTTGCTTATAATTACATAACATTTATAGTCTAGCAGCTTTATGTTTTAGTATATATTTTTTTAAACATTTTTAGCTCGACCATTCAAGCAATGGGCAGAGCTATTGTTCTCACCCAGCTATTGTACTCGCACTTTGCTTAAGTTTTTTATGTGCGAACTTGTATCTTTAAACTACTAAACTCACTTATTTGATAGCATCATAGAAACTTGGATTTTGACAGAATTATGGCCCTTGTGCTTAGAAAATTCTACATTATACAGACTCTTGGTTTACTATCAAGCATTGAGAATAGTCAAACAAGCTGTCCCACTGACAGCTTAAGCGCATTTTATAGTATTTTAATGCTCCCCAGGTGTTGAGAGGCTTGAGTCATGTACTATTAAACCAGATATTTTGGAGGGGCCAAAAATGTGCCAAAACAACATTTTATCAAAGGTTAAATATTTGCAAATTTCTACTTATAGTTTTGTCAAATTTATATGGAATCAGGAAACAGTTATTTAACTTTCAATTTGAAAAAATTTAATATATCACAAAAATTAACAATTTTACAGTACTGTTTTTCTCCTTTTGGTTATAAATGCTCTTGTGCCAGAATATAGATATCTATGCATAATTATTTTTTTTTTAAAGTAAGACTGAATATGTGTTAACATTTTTTATTCTCTAAAAAGTGTTATTTATTACAATGAATTTGCAAAGCTAGATTGTAATGTAATTATATTTCTTTCTAAAGAAATTTTAATATGTTTCTAAACACTATATTCTATACTAGTTTATTTAGTATATTAAAATTTTGTTATTTTTTCATCAGAACTGATTACCAGTATAAAATAGGGATTTTGTTAGATTGAAGTACCAAACATATATGTCAGAGTATAAAAAATCATATGTTTAATGTATATTCTATTTTTTTTAATTAAACAGGAGAAGTCGTCCTACGCCAGAATCCAGAGTATGAACGAACAGAATTTAGACAATTAAATCCCAGGACCCTATGACAATATATTGACATCAGCAACAGCAGCAATCACATATCATATCTGCAAAAGTAAACAATTTTAATCTCCAAATTTCTCTGAAAATTTGAAGGAGTTTCTAGATCAATAACATATCCCAGAACCTGCCTTTGTACTGTATTGTTTTGTTTAGAACTGATTTCCAGTCTACAATATCAGGCATCTGATTGGCTGTTGCAGACTATACACATGATATTGACCAATGATAGGCCAGCATTTTGTAGACTGGTTTGCAAATTCGTTGGGAGTAGGCATGCTTTAATGAATTGGTGGATTGGAACCAGTCATGTGAAAATCAAACTGAGGCTGTTAGTGTAAATATGTTGAGGAGCGTTCAGATGTATAATATACTGCTGTAAATATTGTTTTGTAAATAGTTATCAGTTTTTAAGGCTACAAAGTGAAGATACATCAGTAATCAAATGATTATGATTGAAGCAGACAGTTGTTATGTCTTAAGTTTTATCGAAAAAAAACACTTCCTCAAACTTGGTGCTATTTTTTTGCTCATTTCTCCACTGTTTTGTATAAGTTTTGTTTCCAAGATGCACAGAAGTAAAGACAGTAAGCACTTTATTTGTACACATAGGGTAAGAAAACAAAAACAAGTCATACATATGTTTTGTGTAGGGTAAAAAAACAAAAACAAGTCATACATATGTTTGGTGTGTAAGAAAATTAGGTCATATCATTATGTATGTACTTGTCGAAAATATTAGGAATAAAGTCACATGTAAATATAATGCACAGTTTGAGAAAGCAGTCCGGATAAACTTGTGTAAGAAAAGAATATAATTTAAAATTTTGTTTTGTTTGACAGAGAAATAAGGATAAGCATTTTTAATAATTTATTTGGACAAGAAAATTGCATTTTATAGAACAAAAAATGAATTGGTTAACTTAGGTTAAACACAGATAAATTTTGAAATTGATTAAAGGCACATTATGCATCAGAAACATATAAAAAAAAATTCTGTAGAATAATGTGTAGATAATAGTTTTAGAGCATATTACAAGTGTATCACATGAAGAAAGAAGAGCTAATTATAATTTTGACATCCGTACAAAAAATACTAAATAAATATAACTTTACTTATTTCCAAAAAGCAACAGAAGCAAAAGATTATTCAGGTAATTTGCCTATAAGTAACTTTTAGAAAACTGAACCAGGACACCAAAAATAAAAAGCGTTTGAGAAAATAAAAGACAAAAGCATTTTTTGAGGCATAATGGACCTTTAACTTCATGTTGTATAGAAATATGACGGTGTAAATAATAGTATAGCTTATTAGATTAGATATATTTGTAATTTGTGGGTATACGTTAACTTTACTGTGATCATTTGAAGTTTTAGCATTGTCAAGTGTAACATAACATTTTGTTTACTGGTATATATAGTCAAACTTTTTGTTTAGTCCCTTCTCTCAACACCTTAGTGCAGTAACAGGTTAACTCCTATTAAATTGTATGATAAGTTGATCTGTTACTGCACTAAAGTGACCACTGTTAATATTTTTTCCCTTTTTTTAGGCAAAAGAAAATTGAAAAATGTGATAAGAAAAAAAAATATATTTTATAATAATGTAAAGTAGTTGGGTTTTTCTTTAATGATTAATAGATTTTTATGAGATTTCAAGCTTGCTTTTTACAGTATTTATAATAATCATGTGTAAATATGCCTGAAAATTAGAGAGAAACAAATTTCAGCATACCAAATGTGCCTTTTTGTTGTTTTTTTTAAGAAAAAAGAAATTAAAAAAAAACAACACAAAAAAACATGAAGTACACATATTTGTTTCATGTAGTTGACACAAAATTCTTGTCTTGCAGTCAATTTGAATCAAATTTTAAGAAAAACAAATTTGAATAAAGTTTTAAGGAAAACAATATTTTGTTTGATTTGAGTGTGTTTAGAAGTTATATTTTATATACTTTATTTTCTAAGGGTCTATAAATTTAAACCTACGGCATAGGTTTTTTGAGAAAAATCAATGATCTCAAAATTATTGTTCAAAATAAAATTAAGTATTTTTTTGATATTTATTTTCTTCTATGTTTCAATTCACAACAATATTTTTCATCCTTTAGAAATGCTTAAAGCAGTTTAACCAGATGTAAATGGTGTTCAATTAATGACACTATAAGCAGTATAACATTTAAATATGTTTTTTCACATACTGCTTTTTGCAATACCTAGGACCTCCATTGGCCACAATTTTTAGGGTCATTCCAAATAAGTGGCATGTTTCAGCATAGATGAGATTAATCTCACAATTCTATCATTATTGTAAAAAGGGGGAAACTATCTATAAATACAGTCATTTTCTGTTCAAAGAGAAAAAAGAATAGATTATTTTGGCTTTAGCTTCAGCATAATAAAAAATATGTACCAAAAAAAAAAAATTTCTCAAAACATTCCATACATTATTTTATTTTATGAACATTTTTATCACAAGATAGGAAATCAATACATACAGAAACAGTTGGTTGAAAAGGGTCAACCGTTGTTGAAGTAGAATTATCTAGTTTTGCAATCTTAAAATTTCTTGGGAAAATATTCCCTGCTCAGGAAAGGCACCAGAGTTGTTTCTAGATTTTCTTGATATCGAACAAAGTTCACAAACTTTAACAAGGCCTCTTGATTGTTTGGAAATCCTTTATACATTTATACATCTCATGATCTGATAAAAGAATTGATAGTACATATATGTACAAGTAGCCTTGAAGTTCAGAACTGTTTTTCTTGCATAAGTTTAGAGTTTTTATTACATAAAAAAAAGATGAATAGTTGAAATATTGAATGATCTCTCTTCTGAAATGAGTAAAACAAATAAGGTATATGATTTGTTAAAATGACATTTTTATCCACGCTAAATAATTATTTGTTTTTTTTTTCAGTCATAAGCTATAAGTGGCAAAGATGAATTCAATTTTGCTTTCTATCCTCATATCCAAATATTTGCTTCATGCTTCCCTTTTTTCCTATTTTCAATGAAAGTACATTTTCTCCCTCTTTTTTGCTAGAAATAACTCATTACTTTATCATTTTGCCTATCTTTTTCCCCTTTTTCATCATTTCTTTCACATTACTCCATCTTAATTCCTTTTCTGTTCACTTTTGTTACTTTTTTTCATCGTTTATGTTAAAAATTTCACTCATTTTTCTATAGCACTTTTGTTGTGTTTTATATAAATTCTTTTGTTCTCTGCAGTTTTCATGATTTTTTTGTTTTCGTCAAGTGGTAAAATGTTGCTTATGTTTTTATCAAATATCAATATGTCGACTTTTAGATATTAATTATATGATCTGCCAATATAAATATCAGCTGTTTTTATCTGTATTCAAAATTTTTTAGCTTATCGTACGAAATCAGTGTATATTTATTATTTCTATAATAAAAATGTGAAAAAAACAAATTTGTTTTTTTGTCTTGGGTTTATAGCATGTACTCTCTATGTGAGTGTGCGCGTGTCGTGCGTGTTTAAATGTGCGTGCATAATTTATGCGTGTGTTGGCAGGTGTTACCAGTTATATCCAGTCATACCATACGTCATTCCTGGATAGATTTGTGACGTCACCTGCAGAATGTCAAATATCAAAATGCTCTAAAAATAATGTTAAGGAAAATTTGTATTTTATAATTCATGTTCTTTAATGGTTGATTATCATAAGTTTGTTATAGGTTACGTTTACTGTATAAGCTGTTTTTCCTCAACATTTTAAAAGGCACATGAAACTTCATAGGTGGATAGATCTTATTGAGGAGGAATGCTTTGTGCAAGAATGATAACTCTTCCCTTTATAATTTTTAGTCATTGCCCTTTTTATTTTTCATACTTTTTGTCCGGAGCTTATCTCAAAAAGTGTTAGAGGTATCAACTTGAAACTTGAGGTGGAGTGCAGCACACAAGAGTGATAGCCTACCTGCATTATGGTTCAGTTATGGCCCTTTGTTATTTTCAGCCATCAGTATTCACATAGGTTTCAATAGTTTTTATCACTGCAGCCATAAGTTTTCATTACCAAAAGGCCTCTTAAAATTGAATTATTCTGCTCTACTACATATATATTCTTCCAATGAGCAAACACATTCGGCGGGGGATGGCCATGTTGACATGGCTCTTGTGAGAAATAAAAAGTAAAGATTTTCTGAGGCGCAATGGAAAATATTTAATGATAGCCAATAGCCGTGCCGCATTTGCGACTCCGTAGAAATGGAATTGCAAGTCCGTGTAATGCTGACGTGACGTCATTTGCGTTATACAAATAAACTAATAAATCAAACAAACAAAAACTTTTTTTCTATTAAATATTGATGAAGCCATTTTCGGCCTAATGAAGACCTGTGATTGGAAAATAAAACGACTCCATTCTATTCAAGGTGCAAAAATACGTCCTTATTACCTGCGTTACACTATAAACAATGTGATAGCTTTATTTCTAAATTAGTTGAATTCGTTGCATTATAATATGGTACCCAAGGGCACCACCCCAAGTTATACCACCCTTGACTTAGTTTGTCCTGAGTGTGATAAGCTATTGTGCCCTTAGTTGGGCACTTTGTCGGTGGCCCTATGCTGCAACAAGTTGTTTAGGGATGCGTTCATAGAATATCAACCGTCTTTGTTCGTATATCTCTTCTCAAATTGATTGTTAATTAAATGATAAAAACTGGTGAATATGTCCAATAATTTCCTAAAATTAAGATGTAAGATTGAATATAGAAATCAACTCCAGTTTCAATTTAAAAATGTCATTATCTTATTTGAAAAAATAAAGATGGCAGACACGTCACGATTTGTTGTCTGACGTAATTGACGCACGCCCGTTTAACTCACAACGAGTGAAAAATGTCCATCGGTAAAAATGTTGTGAGCAACTTCCGTTCCTCGTTGTGAGCACCCATCTATGACGAGTGACACGATAAACAAGGTGAGTTTTTCATAATTTTTGAAGATTACAGACATTTATGTAAAAATATCGGAATGCAGTTAGCTAGCGATGTGTTTTCCGAGTATGCACATGTAAAGATATTGCCTGTTGGTGGACAATTTGATGGAAATACCG